GCAATGATGTGATGCGTTGAAAATAATGTCAGAGGTAGACTGGAGTGGTTACTTTGTATAAGATGGATTTTTGTCAAAAGAGTTTGAAGGGGAGCAGCTAGATAGCGTAGTGGACAGAGCACTGGCCCTGAAGTCAGGAGGGCCTGAGTTCAAATCCGGCCTCAGACACATAACACCTACTAGCTGTGTGACCCTGGGCAAGTCACTTAACCCCATTGCCTAGCAAAAAATAATTTAAAAAAACCCAAAAAACTAAATTAAAAGAGTTTGAAGGCAGTAAGAATAGGAGGCCATTAATTTGGTCTTTAAATACCTATAGTTCCAAATCATATGGTGTTTACTAGCAGTTTGAATTGTACCTGTCAGTAGTTATTACTTGACCCTTACACATTTGAGGCTTTCTTTATTGGCTATGATTCAAATGCTTCACCCCTTATTCCTCTTCCTTTTCTCCCTCCCCATGTAGTATGTTTTGGCTTAGCAGCAATCTATACTTTATAGCCTGAACACCTATCCAATCTCTATGGTCTACCAACTATACAAGAGGCAATAAATCCAACAGTAAAAACACTGAATTACAACATAAAAGAAGGAAACATGTTTTAGTAAAACCATTCTCTGCACCCATGCACAAATGGGAACAATCTCCTGTATTTATAAGGAAGTTAGCATATAATTACCCCTCAATCTCTCTAATCCCCTAGCATAGTGGGAAGACAAATCCAGTTGTAACTTCATGGGAGACTCATGACCCCAGTTTTATTGTTCTTCCTTCCGTTTTGAAGAGGACCAATGACATCTTGCGTAGTAAGTGCTTAGGATACAGTGTCTTCAGTTTCTTTGAATTTCTTTCTTTCTTTCTTTCTTTCTTTCTTTCTTTCTTTCTTTCTTTCTTTCTTTCTTTCTTTCTTTCTTTCTTTCTTTCTTTCTTTCTTTCTTCTTTCTTTCTTTCTTTCTTTCTTTCTTTCTTTCTTTCTTCCTTCCTTCCTTCCTTCCTTTTCTTTCTTTCTTTCTTTCTTTCTTTCTTTCTTTCTTTCTTTCTTTCTTTCTTTCTTTCTTTCTTTCTTTCTTTCTTTCTTTCTTGTTTTCAACATTCACTTTTATAAGATTTAAATTCCCTCCTCTTCCCTCTCCCCTTCCCATAATGGCATCCAATCTGATATAGGCTATACACGTACAATCATTTTAAACATATTTATACAAGGAGCAGCTAGGTGGCGCAGTGGATAGAGCACTGGCCCTGAAGTCAGGAGGACCTGAGTTCAAATCTGACCTCAGACACATAATACTCAATAGCTGTGTGACTTTGGGCAAGTCACTTAACCCCAATTGCCTCACTAAAAAACAACAACAACAAAAACCGCAACAACAAACCATATTTACACATTAGTCATGTTGTGAAAGAAGATTCAGAACAAAAGGGAAAAATCATGAGAAAGAAAAAACAAAAAAAAAACCCAACAAAAAAAAGAGAAAATACTATGCTTCAATCTGCATTCAGACTCCATAGTTCTTTCTCTGGATGTGGATAGCTTTTTTCCATCATGAGTCTTTTAGAATTGTCTTGGAGCATTGCATTACTGAGAGGAGCTAAGTCTGTCAAAGTTGGTCATTACACAATGATGCTGTTATTGTGTACAGTATTCTCCTGGTTCTTCTCACTTCACTCAGCATCAGTTCATGGAAATCTTTCAGGTTTTTCTGAAATCCACCTGCTCATCATTTCTTATGGAATAATAGTATTCCATTGCATTCATATACCATAACTTGGTTAGCTGTTCCCCAATTGATGGACATCCCTTCAATTTCTAGTTCTTTGCCACCACAAAAAGAGGTGCTATAAATATTTTTGTACATGTGGGTCCTTTTCCCATTTTTATGATATGGATTTAGTAGTGGTATTGCTGGATCAAAAGGTATACACAGTTTGATTGCCCTTTGGGCATAGTTACAAATTGTTCTCCAGAATGTCTGGATCAGTTTGCAGCTCCACAAACAATGCATTAGGTGTTCCAATTTTCCCATAAGTTTTCCAACCTTTATCATTTTCCCGTTTTGTCATGTTAGCCAATCTGATAGGTGTGAGGTGGTACCTCAGAGTTGTTTTAATTTGAATTTTTCTAATCAATAGTGATTTAGGGCATTTTTTTTTTGGCTAGGCAGTGGGGTTAAGTGACTTGCCCAGGGTCACACAGCTAGTAAGTGTTATGTGTCTGAGGCCAGATTTGAACTCAGGTCCTCCTGAATCCAGGGTTGGTGCTCTATCCATTGTGCCACCTAGCTGGTCCAAGGGCATTTTTTCATATGATTATAGATAGCTTTAATTTCTTCATCTGAAAGCTGCCTGTTTCATATCCTTTGATCATTTATCAATTGGGGAATGACTTGTATTCTTATAAATTTGAATCAGTTCTCTCTATATTTTAGAAACGAGGCCTTTATCAGAGACATTGACTGTAAAAATCATTTCCCAGCTTTCTGCTTCCCTTCTAATCTTGGTTGCACTGGCTTTGTTTGTGCACTGGAGTTTCTTTCTGAGGCATCTCTTAGCGCAGGCTGAAACTTGGCTAAAACCTCTCACCTTGGCTCCAGAGTCATCACAATCCAGCTGCAACTCCTGAGTTTGACAACAGTCATGACCATCTCACTTCCTGTGATCCTCTTCATGCTCCCTTTCTAGGAGTAGCCCTACTGTTTTCCATTTTCACATTAGCCTGCACCACCCCTGTGTAACCACCTGTAGCCATCCAGCTCCTTAAATCTCCCACCTTCTCCAGAACTCACCAATCAGTCCTTATCTAATTATGTCACCAGCTTCAGCCAGCCTAAGAATGTGGAAGATGCAGTTCAGTAAATTTCCCCTAATTAGAAATGCTCTTTTGGCTTAAAGCAGTATGAGAAATGAATTCTTAAGATCGTGCCCACTATAGAAATATATTACTCTAAATAACAAGTACTTATTCGGTAACTATTACATGAAAGCCACCATGTAAGGTGCTAAAAGAGATATAAAGATAAATAATATGGGATCTCTGCCCAATTTAAATTACTTGTTGAGACATAAGACATTAATACTAAATAATCATTAAATATAGAGGAGAAATATAAAGAAAGTACAATGCAGCGTTAAGGAACAAACCAAACTCTAATCCTCAGGTTATCTTAACATTTGTTATACTCTTATAGTAACCTTGGCCTGTACCATTTTGTTTTCTGCAAATCTCATTACCTCTTAGTGATTTGCTTTGTTGTTCTGGATTTGTAATTAGGTTAGCATTTTTTATAAACAAGGGTTATATGTGTGTGTGTTTGTGTTTATGTTTGAGTATTTTAACTTTTTCACTGACTTGTGTTTTTTTTTCTTTTGCCCTCTCCTTCCTAAGTATCAGTTCTCAATAATGTTCAGACTTTTTGACTTTCCTTCATTCTCCTTTTTGTATTGTTGAAATTCGAATTTGTTCACTTTTGTGAGAGTGTTGGTAGAGGGAGGAAATTGGCAAATGGGGGGTGATGATTAAAAATGCATAGAGTCATCGGGGTCTAGCTCATGGTGGGTCATCATCCCAAAGAGAATCAGGAATCACTGGAGATGGGTTTGGAGAGGAGAAAATTTTACTTTTTAAAACAATCATGGAAACTTTGATAAACCAGGAAGATAAATATGACATTGGTATAGCTTGTTCATATAATTAATAAACTGAGAAATAGTGTCACTTTTTGCCCATTTACTATTCACTCTTAAGATAAAAATCTATCTATATTTTTTTAACCAGGTAAGACAATTTTATTAGTATTCATGCTCTACTTTTTAATACCATTAGGAAACACCTGCAAATTTCTTTCTTCCCTAGAAAATTATCTGTTAGATGAAAACAGGCTCATTTTTGACAAATGAACTTCTTTATATCTCAGTTTCCCCTCCTGTAAAAGGAAGAACTGAACTAGATGATTTCTGAAGTCCTTTTGGGTTCTGACATTCTATGACTCTGTATATTTTCACTAGCCATTCAAAATTGCTTCTTTCGTTCAAAAAAATTGCAAAATCTTGGAGTTGGAAGAGACCTCATTGGCTAGCTAGTCCAACCCAGACCTGAAGGATTCTCTCTACAGGGGCAGGTAGGTGGCACAGTGCACCAGCCCTGGAGTCAGGAATACCTGAGTTCAAAATCTGTTCTTAGACACTTACTAGCTGTGTGACACTGGGCAGGTCACTTAACGCTGACTGTCTCAAAAAAAAAAATTTCCTCTACAGTAGATGATAAGTGGCCATCTGACAACTTTTTGAAGCCCTCTAGTGAGGAGGAACCCACTCCCTCCTTAGCTCATTTCACTTTTGGACAGATTGAATCAATGGGAAATTTAACTTTATATTATACTTCCTTTTGCAGCTTCTACCTATTGCTTCTTTTTCTGCCTCTTGGGGCCAAGTAGAATAATGCTAATCCCTCTTCCAAGTGAGAACTGTTCAGCCCCTTGGAGCATGGCCCTCCTAAATCTTCTGTTTTAGGGGCTAAACACCCCTAGTTTGTTCTCCTAGGATCAGGCTGGGAGGAACTGAAAGAGCTGTCCTGGGACAGCTGGGGAGGTCATTCTGGGGTCCTGAAAGCCTCTGTATGTTGAGATCAAGCCCCTTTCCTGGCAAGGAGGATTGGCCATCCCTTGAGAGAGCCCATCAGGTCTGAACTGTCTGCTGGGCCCAACATATACAGTCCTGGGTATTCTTTTTGCTTTTGCTTATTTCTCACTTACCCACTCTAGAAGCTCAGTCTGTGCTTTAGCAGGGTGGAAACAACCTTGCACTTTTTCAAAATGAAATTAAAGAGACTGAATTACATGCGACACAGCTATAAAGACAAGATGGAACAGCACGGTGTAGTCCTATGATCGTGCAGGCATGATTGTGACGTCTTCCTTGAATGACATTCCAGGGACAAAAAGTCCGTGGCACCCTGAGATACTGCCATTATGGCTGTATGTCATTTACATTTTAGCCTCTTGAATGTTTTTATAGTTTTGAAACCACACCCATTCTGAAGCTTGGCCTTTTTACAGAGACCAAGTTCTTTGGTGATAAAATCTACAGTAGTAGGCAGAATACTACTCAGTGCGGACTTGCTGCTTCCTTGTAGTCCAGACTTTGGCACGGGATTTTTGAGAAGTTTGGCCATATTGAACTTGAAATCTCCTGGACTAGTATCTACTCTCAGGTGACAGGACCAGCGTAACCAGGTATGCAGAATTTACTTTTATTTTGAGCACAGAAGTAACCTTGGTCACTGTGGCTGTTACTGACCACTTGTGCCATTCAGGGCATGTTTGCTTTCCAAGGTGCTCTCGGTGTGCTGAATTAAGTAGAATTAAGCAGAATTAAGTAGCGATTTTGTTGGGTGGGGGTACAGAATTTACAAATCTCCTTCCCTTTTCCTATCCTTAAATGTCTTTTCACCTTCTCTTAATTGAACTGTAATTATGATGAGAGAAGGCTTTGTTCAGGCTTATGCAGCCACAAGTGTACGTGGCTGGGTTTCAACTTTTTCTCTCTGAAAGAGTATTGATAGGCAACTGTGAAAGCAATAAACAGAATATGCCTTCTCTACCAGGCACTGGTGCTACTGCTTTTTAAATCTTGACATTTCCTGTGGGGGGAAAGCAGTTAATCCATACTTAAGACTTTACCTTGACTGGCTACGAGTCCTTTGATCCAGGGGGCCGGAGGTGGGGGCCACCAAATGGTCCTGTGGTTAAAAACATAGCAGCTGATAGCAGAAACAGTGCAAACCAGGCCGAGGATGCTGTATAACCATGGTGGAGCATCCTCAGGAAGGGGTACTTAGACTCAGTGCACCATCTATCCTTTCTGGTTACCCGTGCCATTCCAATTTTTCCGCATTCTAAAAATGAGTTAAAGCAGTTATCTCCCTGCTCAGAAGGTTTTTAACTCCCTATCACCAATAAATTTTGGAAGTGGTGAGGGCCTTTCCAAGATTAATTTCCTGTTAAGTACCTTCTTTTATGGGGTCATACTTGCTGGTTGATTATTACCTTGCATAGTTCTTAGAAGAGGCAGGTTCATTCCAGTGCTTTTAAAACTAAAGCTGAAAATGGGCAGTTTGCTGTGCATGTAAGACTGAGAAGCTCTTGAATGATGCATGTTAAGGAAACTTTGATACTGATACCACTGATGAATTTGCATAGCACTTAACGGGCCAAAGTACAAAAACTGACTTGAGTTTTCTTAAAGCAGAGGTAGCTTCGACAAAGTTAAACATATCTCCTTTTTGCAGCAACATTCACAAGTACATTGTCTGCTCAACTTGGAGAACTGTCCAACTGCTTGTGTATGAGTTGTTTTGTTTTTAAAACATTAGAGAAATGAAAATGATTTCGTGAGTGAACCTGAGTTTGACTGTACTTAAATGAAAGCACAATTCAGAACTAATTACCTCTGGACTGGGAGTGCCAAGGAAAAAAAAACTGTCTTGCAGCATTTAAACACACACACACACACACACACACACACACACACACACACACACTTCACTGTAGCTTTTTTAGAAAGCAGAATCTCCTTTCCTATGTTAGACTTTTAGTGCACCAGCTCCATTTCTTTCAGCCAGTTGTTTTTATAATGAACCAGCCAACTGCTCAATTGTGTTCTTTGAGAGGAGGGGGATAGCATTCCTTTATGTTCCCCAGTTTAGATCAGCTTACTACCCAAAGCATGACATTCGATTACCCTTATTATGTTACTTTGTGTAGCTACAAATGTTACTAATGGCCAGAGAGAGTTATAGAGCCATTTAAAAAATCTACTTCCACTCTGACCTCCAGTCAATACTGGAAAAGGGCTAACTCTGAAGGACCACCCAGTAATTTAAGATGGTGGAGAATGTGAAACTGAGCTACTGAAGGATGTAGTTCACAAATACTCCAAAGCAGTTCTCTCCCACATTTCTGACTGCCTATTTTCTTCTAAGGGTACTTTAGGGTGTTGATTTTAATCTCCAGAACGCTGTATGGTGATGGAGGACCTGGTTACCTTAGAGATCCCTTTTCCCTATGGAGTCTGCTGGCTCTAGCACTGTTAGCCACTTTGGGCATCTTCATTCAGGACCTTTAGCAAAATGTATTAAGTGTGGTGTGCACCTTAATTTGTTTCTAGGTTAGGAAAGTGTGAGTTTTTAGTTTTCTTTACTCTCTCCACTCATCCCTGCCCCCCACTGCCTCATACCCAGTTTTTTAACCTGCAGGAAATCAAGCGGTCAGAAATGCATTGAGCCAAATCCATTTATATGGCATTGGAAGAATTTTTTCCCCCTTCTACCTACTGAAAGAGTTGTAGACGTAGACTTTTTTTCCCCCTCTACATCCAATAGACAAAATGTTGTATCCTGTGGGAATAAGCAGAATGATTGCAGTATTTTTTCTTTGGAATATTAAATTGTCTATTCCCTCTTCACCTGCTCTCTTTGGTCTGTGAATAACTGATTTGTTTGTGGTCCACAGAGGAGAATATTGTTTCCTTAGCCAGTCATTCTATTTAGGAATTTTGGACTAGAGGAAAAGGCACTGACCTGGATCAAATGACATAATATTTGTAAAGTGCTTAACATGGTGCCTGGCACATAGTAGGTGCTATGTAAATACTTATTCCCTCTCCTTATCCCTCCCCAGAACTGAGGTCAGAGGCTCTGGCTTTGAATCCAAATTTTGATATTACCTTTGTGACCTTGGGAAAAGTAACTTTTGCTTTCTGTTTCTAAATTTCCTTATCTATAAAATGAAGAAGTTGGAGCTTGTAATCAATAGGGTCCATCTCTTTCAGCTCTAAAGCTTATAAAATACTTGTTAAGGAAATGGACTGTACATATGTCCATGCCCCTGGATTTGGTGTTAAAGAACCTGGTTTCAAATCCCAGCTCTGCCACTTACTACCTGTATAACCTGGGGTAAGACCTTTACCTCAGTTTCCTTATCTGCAAAAGAATTCAATTCGAAGACCTGTCTAACCCTTCCAGCTATAACGCTACCATCCTGGATATTATGGCATAAGTTGTACTGTATGACTTAGCATATAAAGAAATAGAGAATCAGAGATTTTTTAAAAATATATAAAATGCTTTTCCTATCAGTCATATCTACTTTAGCATCTTTCTTTGTTTCTTACATGATAATTAAAACTACCAGTTGATTCAGTCATTTCAAATTTAAAAAAAATTTAAGCCCATTAGGTATTGGGTTAGATGAAAAGAAACAGATTATGGGATTATGTCTCAGGAAGGAATCTCAGAGTTCTAACACTCTCATTTGATAAATGAGACAGAGGGCCAAGAGTGGTAAATTGAGTTGCCTCAGTTTACATAGGTGAAAAGGATACAGTTGCTCTTTGGTGTACCAGTAAGGGGAAATTCTAAAATGAAAGAGGATTTAAATTTTTTAAACTAGATTTTGAGGTACATTTGGGGGAGAAGAGAAGATGGCAGAGTAAAAGCAGGGACTCGCTTGAGCTCTCCCCCAAACCCATCCAAATACTTGTAAAAAAATGACTAAATAAATTCTGAAGCAGCAGAACCCACAAAAAGACAGAGTAAAACAAATTTCCAGCCCAAGACAACCTGGACGGTTGATGAGAAAGGTCTATTGCTCTGGGCTGGGAGAGGAGCATGGGCCGTGCAGTCAAAGATAGGGCCCAGCAAACCCAGAGCAGGCCTCAGGAGACTGAATCAAGGGGAGCTGTAGCAGTTTCCAGACTTCTCAACCCCAAAGACAACTTAGAAGGTCAATGGGAAAGCTCTGTTGGACATGGGTGAGAGAGGAATGCAGCCCAGCCCTGGCCCCTGAGGCTGTGGTGCAGTGGCAGCAGCTGCTTCTGGAACTCTCAGCCCACAGATGTGGGGGGGGGGATGAGCAGCTGATCAGAGGGGGATTGCAGGGATTTCTCTGCTGGCTCTGAGGTAGGATTGCTTTGCCTGTGCTTGGATCTGGGGCGAGGAGGAGTGCTGGTGTGGTAGAGCTCATGGCAGCAGTGCAGAAGGGAACCCTCCTCACAGTTCCAGGGCAGAAAAGAGTGCTTGTGATCACTCTCAGACCAGAGCGCAGGCCAGGAGAGGAGTAAACACTTCTCCTTGGATCATACCATCTTGGAAGAACTGAAAATGTACAGGTCCCTAGAAGTATCTCTGAAAACAGCTGCACAAAACCCCTGAAGCTTGGGACAGTACATTCTCCACGCTGGACGCAGAGCCCTACCTTAACAAAGGGTTTAAAAGCGAAGTAACTAGCTGGGAAGATGAGCAAACAGAGGAAAAAAACTCAGACTATAGACTCTTACCTTGGTGACAAGGAAGATCAAAATATACAATCAGAAGAAGACAATAAAGTCAAAGCTCCTATACCCAAAGCCCACAAGAAAAATATGAATTGGTCTCATGCCATGGAAGAACTCAAAAAGGATTTTGAAAATCAAGTAAGAGAAGTAGAGGAAACATTGGGAAGAGAAATGATAGTGATGCAAGAAAATCATGAATAATGAGTCAACAGCTTGCTAAAGGAGACCCGAAAAAATGCTGAAGAAAATAACATCTTAAAAAATTGACTAGACCAAATGGTAAAAGAGGTCCAAAAAGCCAATGAGGAAGAAAAAGAGGTCTAAAAAGTCACTGAGAAAAATAATTCCTTAAAAATTAAACTAGATTTAACTGTGATATTTGAACCCAGTTCTTCCTGACACTAAGGCCAACTCTGTCCAGTATGCCATATTGCTCGCTACTTTATCAGAGGATTTAAATCTGGGGTCTTTTTATTGTTCTTTTATTGTTGTTCAGTCATGTTCAACTCTTCATGAACTCATTTGGGGTTTTCTTGGCAGAGATATTGGAGTGGTTTACCATTTTCTTCTCTAGCTCATTTGAAGAAACTGAGGCAAACAGGGTTAAGTGACTTGCCCAGTGTCACACAGCTACTAAGTGTCTGAGGCTGGATTTGAATTCAGGTCTTTCTGACTATAGGCCCAGTACTCTATCTACTGTGCCACTCAGCTTCCCTTTTTTTGTCATTAGATAACCCCAAATTATGTTCTCTTAGAGTAGAGGTAAGTCTAGCACTACACTGTGGGATCCGTAGAGAGTAGTAATAGCAGTTACATGCTTCCTAAGTGAGCTCCTATGGAAGCTAGTCTCTGGGAATTTGAAGACATCAAGGCAAGGATAAAACTTCACTTTAGTTTCTTA